TGACTATGCTAAGTACTTATAATTTTAATTAATATTTATTCTTCTTTATTATTTTTTACATATTTTATCTTTATTATAAAAGCTTTTTTTGCTACTTTTTATTGGAAATTTGATAGTTCTATTCAAAAGCTCTGTAATAAAAATCAATAGTTGAAAACTAAATATCAATCTTTATAGATTGAATATTAGTTCTTATAAATAAATTTAAATTACTCTTAATTTTAATATTAATTTTATTTAAAATTTTCATTATTAAACTTTGAAAAGTTTATTGATTAAATTTAAAATTTAATATTTAATTTCTCTTAATCAAAGTCAAATTATATATTGATTTAAATGCTATTGAAGATTTGATCACTCAGTTTTACTATATTTTTATATATTTAGATTTAAGTAAAACAAATAATGATTTTTTCACAGCTAGCTCAAGCTGAAGAAGTAAGTAATTAAGATTATAATTTAATTTATTATTAGCTTTTTTATATATATAACAATTTAAGTAAAATAATTAAGATAGAAAATAAACTGCATTATTAAAAACAAAGCTCAAGTAAAATTTTAACAATTTATATTACTAAGTTTAAATATATTTTCTATGAAATCAGAGCTTATAAATGATTAGATTTTTTAAAAATCTTTTAATTTTATTAGAGTTATAATATATCAATTTGCAATTATTTAAATTAGCAGTTATATCTATTTCAGATTTATAAAAAATTTTATATACTATTTAGTAATTAACTTATAATTTTATTTATTTATCTTTGTCTTATACTTTTTAGCAGATTATTATTATTATTATTATACATTATTTAAAATATATTCAGTCAATAACTATAATATTTATCTAGTTAAAACTAGAATATTACTATATTATTAATCTAATTAATAAATAATAATCAATTTATACACTTATATAGTTTTATCTCAGAATAATATAGCATTTAATAATTTTTTAATAAAAGATATATTTATAGTTTTAATTTTAATCTCATCTCTTTTTTAATTTAAATAAAATAAATAATAAAATAAAATAAAATAAAATAAAATAATAAACTTAATATAAAAGAAATTTTAATAAAAGTATTCTTAAAAATATTTTTAGAATTTTTATAGAGTAAATATTAAATTTATTTAATATTAAATTTTATTTTTTAGAAATATTTTTTGTTTTTATTTAACAGCTTACCAGTAATAGAGCTTAGATAAATAAAATTAAAATAATAATTTCCCACTTAATAATTATATAAAAACATTTGATATAATGTAATTAATTATCTAGTGAGATAAATCATCTATCAAGACAGATCTTCACTACATGATGCATTTAACTATTTAATTGATCAAAATATCAATAATCAAAGATGATAATTCTTTATATAAGAATGAAAGACTTACTCTAGCTATTGAAGCACTTAAAAAAAAAATCAAATTTCTAGTTCTAGAGCTGCTGTCAGATTGTACAACATCTCTCATTTCACTCTTTGTCATCAATTTCACAACTGTATGACATAAGAGAACTCTCAGTTAAAAAATTAAAAACTAATCTTTATTAAGAAATTATCTTTTATTTAGTGAATAATCTTCATGAATGAATATG